TGAGCTCTATCAAGTTGTCTTGACTTTTTTAGTAGAAAGTTGTATAATTACAGGTTCTTTGATAGTTGGATAACACTCTCACAGTTACTCTGTCCCTGGCCTCTTTTGTGGACATACGTAAATATTTAATGGTTCTTTTCTAGTACAGCACAGATGCTTAAAATATTAATTGTGGTCAGCTAATTGTGTGGTTATTGGTACTCTTCTATTGAGAACAATAAGTCACAGCACCTTTCTTTATTTTAGAACACTGCCTCATGTTGCCCATGATAATGCAAAGGTGGACTGATTTCTAGTAAAGACTTCTTAAAAATGGGACATGACTGGGGCACCTGGGTGGCTCAGTCGTTAAGCGTCTGCCTTTGGCTCAGGTCATGATCTCGGGGTCCTGGGATCAAGCCCCACATCGGGCTCCTTACTCAGCAGGAAGCCTGCTTCTCCCTCTCTCACTCCCCCGCTTGTGTTCCTGCTCTCACTGTGTCTCGCTCTGTCAAATAAATAAATAAAATCTTAAAAAAAAAATGGGACATGACTTAGAAGCACAAACAAGTTTAGCTGTCTCTGGGGGTATTCTCAGATAAGTCATTTATGTTCTATTTACATTCTTGGAGCTTCAGGCATTTAGGTTAGGAGACCACCCTTCCTGATTTTTTATGGTAAAAGGTTTTCCTGTTCTGAAGCACTGAGATCAGGATGGTTGAGGGGAGGGAGGTGCCAAGAAGCTGAGTTAGAAGGAGGCAACAGTGCAGGTAGCCTGGATGGTGGCTTAGGATGATGTGTGGGGGCGGGGGCGGGGGCGGCGGGTGGGGGGCAGATACCCCCACTGCTGGCACAACTTATGCCTTACTAGTGTTTGAAGTCAGGAGGTACAGGGATTGCTTACCACTCTCCCTATAAAACAGCGGTTCTCAACTTTGACTGCATATTAGAATCACCTGTAGGAATTAAAAAAAAAAATCTGCACATGACACCAGTTAAATCAGATTCTCCAGGAGTGGAACCTAGGGATCAGTATTTTTAAAAGCTTCCCAAGAGGTTCCCATGTGCAGCCAAGGTGAGAATCCCTGCAAAATTAAACTGCAGAGAGGATTTATTATATAGCTACTGGCTGTAGTTAGACCTCATCAATTATAATTAACCAGTTGGGAATTCCTGCTGGAAACTTAAGGTTCATTCAGTAGCAAATGTTCATTGAACCTCAACCTTGTACCAAATTCTTACTAATTGCTAGGAATATAAAGATAAGATATGGTTGATAAAGGATTGCAGTCTAGTGGAGGAGATAGGAATAATAAAAAGGTATTACTGGAAATACAGTAGTAGGAGCAGTTAATTCTGCCTGAGCCATGGAATATGGAATGGGGTAGAAATGAAATGATAAGTGGTCAAGGTTTCACAGAGGAAGTGAAGAATTAAGAGTTTATCAGGTAGAAGAGGGAGGAAAGAGGAAGTTTTTGTGAGAAAGGTAGTACCATGCAAAGATGTGAAGAGATTGAAGGAGTATGTGTTCAGATATTTGTAGCTAGAAAGGTAGATTAGGGTCAGGTGGTGAAGTGCCTTATAAAAACAACATTCAGGAATATGGATGTTATCTTGCATGCCAGGTTGTCACAGGGTCAAATGTGTACAGGGTCTAAATAGGCGCTGGTCAGATTTGAAGCAGGTGATAGTGGAGGCCCTAGTAATCAGGACAGCATGGACCTTGTTTAAAAGCATTTAAGTAAGAACTGTTTTTTAAAATTTAAATTCAAAATAAAATAAAATTGGGGCGCCTGGGTGGCTCAGTCATTAAACATCTGCCTTCGGCTCAGGTCATGGTCCCAGAGTCCTGGGATCAAGCCCCAAATTGGGCTCCCTGCTCGGCGGGAAGCCTGCTTCTCCCTCTCCCACTCCCCCTGCTTGTGTTCCCTTTCTCACTGTGTCTCTCTCTGTCTAATAAATAAATAAAATCTTTTTAAAAAGTAAAATAAAATGGAATACTATTATGATGAAATGAATCTGTCAAATTCAAACTGCAAGGACCAGTTTGTAGTACCTTGAGTATAAGAGATGACTATAGGATAAAAAACACAAGGAAAAGCTGTAAGATAGCGTTTCTAAAGAAGTGCCATAGAAATATAATTAAGAGTTGGGGTTGCCTGGAGATGAGATGAGAACATGATGAAAAGGTTAGTGTAGTAATCTAGGTAAAATTTCCAGCAAGCCATAAATACTTTCAAACAAGGTAGCTTACATTTGTTGGCTACTCATTTCCTCTACTGTTAAGCTGTCAGCATTGATCATACTTTCTTCCCAGCTCCATCTATTATATTACTTTACTGCTCCCCATCTTCGTTGTCATTTGTTCTATTCTGCTTCTCTCTGTGTTGAGCAAGGTTTTGCTTGTTTCTGCATTGGTTCGGATTTCTTAGGTTAACATTCTGATATTTCATAGAAACTTTCTTCTATTTCACCTGTAATTTAGCACTTCTGCATTTGGCTGTTGCTCCCAACGTCTCACTGTGGGAAGACTCACCAAAGCAAGCTACTGGTTTTAGTTTACATTTGATGTCTTTAATGCCTGACACTTGGAACTAAGCTAAGTCTTGGATGGAGAACCACCATTTTTCTATTTATACGATGCTGGTTATTATCACCATCAGAAACATTGTGCATTTGTTTAGATGGCTCCTTAGTCAAACAGTTTTATTATTAGAACCTTCTTCCTGTTTCTGGCCTAGCTTTTCTTTGGGTTCTACCACCTAAAATGAACAAGCATTAACATTTCACAATATTGATGTTGCTTTTTGCATCCTACTGCTTCCCTTATTTAACTGGAATTTATGCATTGTAAACTCATAGTCTTCGTATGTCTAAAATCATTTCTTTTTCTTTCTTTTTCCCATCCATTCTGCAAATATTTATTGACCATCTGCTCTTTGCCAGGAAATGTCTAAAACCATTTCTTTCTTTCTTTTTTTTTAAAGATTTTATTTATTTATTTGAGAGAGAGAGAATGAGAGAGAGAACATGAGAGGGGGGAGGGTCAGAGGGTCAGAGGGAGAAGCAGACTCCCCGCAGAGCAGGGAGCCTGATGCAGGACTCAATCCAGGGACTCCAGGATCATGACCTGAGCCGAAGGCAGTCGCCCAACCAACTGAGCCACCCAGGGGCCCTAAAACCATTTCTTAAATGATAGTTTAGCCAGTATAAAACTCAAGGATGACAGCTATTTTCCTTTAGCAACTTGAAGATCGTTAGCTTTATTGTCTTTTGTTCTCTGTTGCTGCTAATGAGAAGTTGCTATCAGTCTAGTGATTCCTTTGTTGGTAACCTGTCTTTTCTTTTATGGTTTTTCTCTTTATTCTTGCTGCTTTGTAGTTTGTACAGTATCCAGATATTAAATTTATTTTTAATTATCCTATTCATTATTATATACTTATTTTATTTTATTTTATGTTAATCACCATACATTACATCATTAGTTTTTGATGTAGTGTTCCATGATTCATTGTTTGCGTATAACACCCAGTGCTCCATTCAGTACGTGCCCTCTTTAATACCCATCACCAGGCTAACCCATGCCCCCACCCCCCTCCCCTCTAGAACCCTCAGTTTGTTTCTCAGAGTCCATAGTCTCTCCTGGTTCGTCTCCCCCTCCGATTTCTCCCCCTTCATTTCTTTTTTTAATTTAAATTCAATTAGCTAACATATAGTACATCATTAGTTTTTAATATATACTTTCTGTCTAAGGACTCTTCAGGTCTGGAGCATTCTTAGCCTTGTCTCTTCAGTATTTCTTTGTCATTCCCACTGTTCTGAACTAGCATTTCTGTTAGGTGTATGTACTTCTCAGTTTGTCTTTTATGTCTCTTCCCTTGTTTTAAAATATTTTTATCACTTTATTTTTCTGTGCTACGTTCTGGGTCAGTTCCTCAGTACTTTTTCATTGGACAACTCTTTGGACAGGTTAATAGGTGAATCACTGGGTAAGGAGTTTATGGCTGGTGGCCTTTTATGTATGTGTGTATATGTGTGTGTGTGTGTGTGTGTATTTAATTAAATGAAATAAGAGGACAGGTCATCTGTTGATAGGGATTTTTGGGTAAAATAAGTGAGACATAGAAAGTAGTGAAGGTCACTGAGATGAGTGTATCATTCATTTCTTGGTTAAAAAGCTTTTATCTAAGATTTTTAAAAATAAAAATTTAAGGAAAATAACTGATAATCATAATCTTGATGTTTTCCCTCAGCATTAAAGAGAACTTAGTTGTATTAGCTGAAAACAGGTTTTTTTTTTTTTTTCTTGTTTTTCTACTTTATATTAGCAGAAGGTAAAGAAGAGAGGTCTGAGAGTTAAAAGACCTGTATTTCAGGCTTGGTTCTGCCAAAGCTTTTGATTAGTTATTTTGCCAGTTTTTTAAATTTATAAAATAAGAGTATATACCTTACATATTTTTTTTAGTACTGTATTGTTTTTATGAAGATTGTTGAGATGATTGAATATAAAAATATTTTGAAAACCACGAACATTGTTTATAAGATATGAGATGCAAAAGTAATGTAACCCATAGATTTAAATTATTTTGGAAGTGCCACTTTTATGCTATTTTTTCCAAATTAAAGTAGATAATGTATTAGATGTATAGCATTAATTTTTAGAGAAGATGTATGTGTGCTTTTCTTTTTAAAATAGTCACCAATTCTAAGTATTTTATTTTACTTGCTTTGTCCGAGTGAATTAACTTGCTAAAGGATTTTTAGAAAAACATGTGGATAAAATATTAGTCATTTAAGTTAGATCATGTTTGTATCATACAAATATCTAATTTAGTAATAGTAAATAGTAATATAAAAAATTACTATATTTGAATAATTTATAGAGATTTATTGTAAGAATAACTGCTCTGTGTAATCTAAAGTAGATGACATTTTTGTCCTTTTAAAGGCACTAGAACTAAGCTTTATTAATTTGATATAAGATTACTTAAATTATGCTTTATCTTTTTCTTGCTTGACAGGCAACCAGATAAACTGGTGGTAGTTTGGACAAGAAGAAGCCGAAGGAAGTCTTCTAAGGTTTGTCTCTTTTCTAAATTTCTTACCCAAATGTTGCATTTAACTTTTAGTCAAATTATGAAGCTTTTCTGGTCCCAGTGTAGAATATTTTAATATATTACTTGATTTTTGGGTTATTTCTAATTATCTAATCTACTAAAATGATTGATCAGGCATTGTGATCGTGTAACTACAGTTCTGAAAATGGGAGTCAGATACCTGAGTTTTGATCTTGGATGTGGTAGCCTTGAGTAACATCAGTGTAATTTAACTTCTCTATACAATGGTAATCATGAATTAATGATTAAATAGGTAACACTTACAAAATTGTACCTGGGATTGTTTATTCAGATTCCAAGAGGATGAAATTAAGGCAAACTTAAGAAATGATGAGTGGGGCGCCTGGGTGGCTCATTCGGTTAAGCGTCTGCCTTCGGCTCAGGTCATGATCCCAAGATCTTGGGGTCGAGCCCTGCGTTGGGCTCCCTGCTCAGCTGGGAGCCTGCTTCTCCCTCTTCCTCTGTCTGCTGCTCTGCCTACCTGTGCTCTCTATGTCTCTGTCAAATAAATAAATAAAATCTTAAAAAAAAAAAAAGAAAGAAATGATGAGTTATCTGAGTCCATTGCTGGGCTGCAGGAGGAAAGGAGTTGGATTTTTCAAAGGTTTTAATTTTTTGCACTTAGAGCTTTGTGGGGAGTATAGAACAGAATTTTTAATGTTCAATAACAATTCTGCAGATATTTTAAAGATTTATTCTTTAGATAATTATGAATATATTTTTATAAGCACACAATAACTGTAAGCATGTTTAAGTGGATATTCCTTTTTCCATAAGTAGTCCTGTGTGAGGAAAAAAATTATTCCTTTTAAGTTTAATTTAATTAAATTTCAGAATTTTTAATATTTCAGGGACATCTTGTCAAATTTTATTTTTATTCAGCTAAAATTACATATAGGTCTTAATTATACAATGTAATGAGTTTTGATCAATACATACTTGTGTAATTAGTACTCCTATTAGGATATAGAATATTTTCATTACTTTTTCCTTTGTGTCTTCTTCCAGTTAATTGACAACTCTCAGAGGCAACCGCTATTCTGATTTTTCTATCACCATAGACTAGTTTTGCCTGTTTTTGAATTTCATGTAAATGGAATCATACAGTAGTCCTGTGTTATACGTGATTTCTTTTGCTCAACATCATGTTTTTGAGATTTATTCATGCTGTTGTGAATATTGGTAGTTTTTTTTTTTATTAGTGAGTAGTATTCCATCGAGTGAATGCACTGCAGTTTGATTATTTATGCCCCTGTTGATGATTTGATTCATTTCTAGTAAATATCCTGAATATTCACTACTGTGAATTCTGGTATAAATACTACTGAAACAGTATTTTAGGGGGTAAATATTTTAATTTCTCTTGGGCAAATACATAGGACTGGAATTCGCTGGGTAATAGTGTTGGTACATTTTTAACTTTTAAATGTATTTCCAGCAGCCACATAGGAAAGGTACAGGGCATCATATTATGAATGACATCATCTTCAAAGCATACATTTATAGTTTGGGGGCATTGTATTTTGGACCTGTAATATTTTCTTATCCATTTACATTGATATGAGAAAGTTCTGAAAATGGACTTAGGGTTTTCTCCGTTTTGCTGGATATTTGTCACTTTTGCCTATGGGTCTTAGGCTTTTGTGGAAAGGAACAATAAAAGGTCATCCACTAAGTATGATAGATGAATATGACTATAACTATGGATGTTAGACCCTATGTGCTTTTAGCTATCAAATGAAAAGTGATTACCTCCTTTTAATAATCAGATACTAATTATTTTCTAAAAAAAAATGAAACAGTGAAATAGATTATAGGTCAATTCAGAATACATAACCCTATTTGAAGTTAAATACACCTTTATTTAATTGCATTTTTGAAAGTCAATCAGATAACTTTTAGGTCCAAATTATTTTTCATATTATATCAAATATTGATTGAATCTAGATGGTGAAATCCAAATGTTTGAGGCTGCAGGTTGATTTTTCTCAGAATGCAGTATTTTCTAGAAGGAATTATTTCTTGGATTACTGTCCAGTTACGATGCTCTTAATATTTCAGATCCCTTCTGTGTATTTCAGAATCATTGTGTCTTCTCTTAAAACATTATAGATGTACTTCTTTTGAAAAATTAATGAGAACCCACCATGTGTTAAGCTCTTTACAGCAAGTGCTTAGCATGTTCAAGCATATGTGAAATGCTGTTTTATAAATTGTACAGAACACCCAAAAGAGGACTTAAAAATCCAGTTCCAGAAATTATGAAAGAAATGATTATGACATTATTCTAAAAGTTAAGCAAATAAATGGTTTTTTAATCTTAGGAAATGTGAAATCCATGACATTTTGGAATTCTTTAATAAAAAACTTGTGTCCCCAGCTATTTTTTTTTTTTAATTAGCTATCAGTTACACTAAATCCAAAGACTAGAACAACTTTTTTCTTCTGAAAGTCAGTTCTATTTTCTGATGGTTTTCCTTTAAAATATACATTATATGCTGCTGAGTCCCATTGAAGTCACTGACGGGGGAAAAAAGATCTCTGCAACCATTGGCCATTTACTTTTAACTGTGTTTTTGGAAAGAGTTTGAGTTGTACAGTGATCAGTTTTGATTTTTGTCATCCGTATAGCTTATTATTTCTCTTTCCTGATTCTTTTTTTATATTGATAGATTGAAACTTATAACTGAGACACAGATAAATGTCAGATTAGAGAATAAATAAGGCATACTACCTTATTTAACCAACTGAGCCACCCAGGGGCCCCGGCATACTACCTTATTTAAAGTTTAGTTCTCAGTGCTCACTTTCTGTGGGCACATGTCTATCTTTATAGCTAAATATATAATCAGAATTCATTGCTGACTCATTTTTTATTGAGAAAATAATTACCATGGATAATTAACACAATATGCAGCTTCCCTGCCTCTTCTCTTCAAGTCATGGCCTTTATAATAAAGATTTTGTCAGGCTGCAGTTGTTTTATATATGCTTAAATAAATTATTTTTCAATAAAATATAGGACAGTAGGAGGCAGGGCAATTACGATAGTCCCCCCCCAAATTATGGCAGAGTAATATGTTGCCTTAAATATGGTTTTCCAAGTAGAAATTTAAGCTCACAGATGGGAGAATTTCAAAGGGAAACCAGAGCTTTAAAGTCCTCACAAGCGGGGCTCCTGGGTGGCTCAGTCGTTAAGCATCTGCCTTCAGCTCAGGTCATGATCCCAGGGTCCTGGGATCGAGCCCTGCATTGGGCTCCCTGCTCAGCGGAAGCTGGTTTCTCCCTCTCCCGCACCCCCTGCTTGTGTTCCCTCTCTTGCTCTGTCTCTCTCTGTCAAATAAATAAATAAAATCTTTAAAAAATAAAAATAAAAAAATAAAGTCCTCACAAGCTTTTTGATGGCATTACCACCTTTACTTCCTTGCTCTATGGTTGTGCTCCAGCCTTTTACAATGTGCTGTGATATCAGGAGGGGAAGGTACAGTTGCAGAGCTTTGCCTTAATGGCAATAAGTCTAAGGTAACTTTATATGTGACACCTTAAACATACGGGTATATGCAGTTTTATAAGTTGAAAATTATTTAACAACTGACAACTATACATTTTTAGTGAAATATTTTATTTTGTAGGAATCAGAAATAATAAGTGAATGTTTACTCTGTATTTAGTACCATATAAGGTACAAGTCTTTTAGGGAAGATATGACATGAAATAATTAGAAAATAAGGCATTTTATAGGGTTAGGACCCTAAATTGAGAAATGTTATCTTTTTCCTAGGTCTGCTTTGGCATGTCAAATGATCTGTCATATGATTAAAAAGTGAGAAAAATTGTATAAGGGGAACTGGATAATGTGGCCTAATCCTTTGTACCATTATCTGTACTAGGATAGCTGGCAAATGAAGAAATAACCTGCCTCTCTAACTATACAAAGAAGCTGAATAGCTGTACTTGTGTTTCTGTGCCCAATTATTTTCTGAAGAATCCTTTCTGTTACTCTCAGTGAAAACTGATCATGGTTCTTGTAGTGCTAATGTTTGCCAATATGATGTGCTTTTTCTAATCAAGTTCTTAAGAACCTAAATTAATGTCCCCATGGATTTTTACAATTAGATGTTTATTACCCATATTGGGTATTTTTACCCAATTTGTGTTCACATAGTGAACAATGGGCCAATACCCATTGGGCCTTTCATTCTTTTTCTAGCTTCAGATTCTTGAATTCTGTTTGAGGTGAAAGTTGTAGTAAGCTTTTTGAAAATAGGAATACTTTTTTTTTTTCATGTTTGCTACTGTATACGTTCCTGGTTTCCTCTCTAGTAGAATTTACTTGGTCCTTTTTTTTTTTTTTTTAAAGATTTTATTTATTTATTTGACAGAGAGAGACACAGCAAAAGAGGGAACACAAGCAGGGGGAGTTGGAGAGGGAGAAGCAGGCTTCCCACTGAGCAGGGAGCCCGATGTGGGGCTCGATCCCAGGACCCTGGGATCATGACCTGAGCCGAAGGCAGACGCTTAATGACTGAGCTACCCAGGTGCCCCTTGGTCCTTTTTTCTGCCTACTATATAATAATTAGCTAACATTATACAACTGGTAGTGCCAGCTACTCAGCTGGACTAATTGATTTTGTTACAGTGTCCTAACTTAGCCAGGTTGTACAGTCTCTAAAAGGAATAACAGAAAGCCAGAGCTCTAACTTGGTTGGACGTTTTTTGCTGGGGAGAGAGGTGCTGGGTAGAATGGTAAGAAAATGACAGCATGCTAGCAGCTTGGGAACTCGCACCCTTACATCTTTTTTTAATTAAAAAAAAAAAAAAAGATTTTAGTTTGTTAAGCAGATTGTATTTTTGTTTGTTGAACAATCTAATTTCTGAGATCCGTGACTAAGGACTGAAAGAGGTCATTTAGAAGACCAGCATTAGGGTACCTGAGGAAATGATCTGATATTACCATCTACTAACTCTGCCCAATTGTTAGGTAGCCTCTGCATTCCCTGCTTTTCATCTCTGTATCATCCAATAAATGTCAAGACCTTAGGGATAGAAAACTATATTCTTGACTACTGTGTGAATCAGAGAATATTGCTGCATATGTTGTTGGTTAGGTAAAGAAATCTGAACTTGGAAATCATGGAGGTGGTTCTATTACTGATTACTAGTATGGGTTCAGGAAAGCGGTTTACTCTTTGCTTTAGTTTCCTTATCTGGATTAGATCTTCTGAGGATATCTTGAAGTCTAAAGTTCTTTGATTGTCATTTTTTCATTAAGAATTTTACAAAAAGGGGGTGCCTGGGTGGCTGAGTTGGTTGGCTCAGGTCATGATCTCATGGGTCATGAGATCGAGCCCCAAGATGGGTTCTGAGCTCAGTGGGGAGTTTGAAGATTCTCTCCCTCTGCCCCTTCCCCCACTTGCTCATGCTCTTTCTTTCTCAAGTAAATAAATACTTTTTAATTTTAATTTTATTTTTTTAAAGATGAGGGTTTTTTTTTTTTAAGATTTCATTCATTTATTTGACAGAGAGATAGAGAGCACAAGTAGGCAGAGAGGCAGGCAGAGGGAGAGGGAGAAGCAGGCTCCCTGCTGAGCAGGGAGCCGGATGCGGGGCTCGATCCCAGGACCCTAGGATCATGACCCGAGCTGAAGGCAGACGCTAACTGACTGAGCCACCCAGGTGCCCCAAATAAATCTTTTTTTAAAAAAAGAATTTTACAAATACTTTATCTTTTCTGCTGTGGCTGATAAGGAAAGTTCAGTTATTATACTCTTCTTATGTTTTTATTCTATGGGGAGGCTATAAAAATATAATGATGGTGAGTTTGAAGAGACCAGAGGAATAGCCTGATCTACCATAACAGTACATGAGATGACACAGAATTGTCATAAATCTTTAATATTAAGTATGTAGAATATGTAGAGAGGGGTTTTGATTAAGGATTATCTAAAGTAAGCAGAAATTTACTTTTCAAAATGGAGATTGTTTACTTTGTGGAGTTTTTGTTCTAGGATTGTCAGTAGGCATATTTCCATAAATAGGCAGAGGAACAGAGGACTCTCTGGAGATATTTTTTAATCAACAGCACTCAAGCTCTTTACCTTTGGGTATGGTGTGCTAAGTCTGTTGTGGTGAATCTCTATTGCCCTTTCCTTACCTGAGTTTTGTGATTGGAGGGCAATGGAGAGAGAATAGAGGGAGAATTATTGACAATTTATGGGTTGGAGTAGCGGGAATGCTGCTAAACCTATATCTTATGCTGGTATTTTAAGTAACAAGATATGATATGATTTGAATGGACATAAATTTCCATGATCTTGATCCTTTCTCAGTTCCATTTCATGGGTTCAAATCCAGCTTCTGCGACTTGCTTGCTGTGAGATCTTGGGCCAGTCTGTGCCTTAGTTTTCTCATGTTAAATTTGTTCCCTGGCACACATCTGCACTCGTATAACTTCTTTCCTGTTATCGTGGAAGAATTGTCTGTGGTTCTGGCAAAGGCCAGTCTGTCTCCTTTTCTATCATTAAGGACATCACTCTAGTAATTCTTTCTCTTTTGCATCATTAAATTCTCCCCCTTAACTGGATATTTCCCATCAGCATTAAAATATTTTTTTCTTATTAAAAAATTATCTCTGCCACTATTTTACCACTAGCGCCAGACTATTTTTCTCTTTCTCTTTCAGCAAAACACCTCAGAGGAATTGAGTGTACAATATCTTTAATTTCTTTTTTTCCTATTCTTTCTTGAACCCATTCCAATCCAGGTATTTGCTCCTATTATTCCACTGAAACAGCTTTTGTGAAGTCAGTAATGGCTTCTGCTTTGTTAAATCCAATGGTCATTTGTCGTATCTAACCTGCCATCAAGATTTGGCACAGGTGATTGTTCCCTTCTCCTTGAAACATTTTCTTCACTAGATTTGCAGGATACCACATGCCTTTGGTTTTCCTTCTGTGCCAACCTTTTGCTCAGTCCTCCTCATTTCTTAGACCTGTTAATGTTGTGCCCCAAGGTTCATTTCTTGAACATTTATATTCTCTAGCTGTACTCTTTCCCTTGGGATCACATCCATTCTTAAGCTTTAAGTATTACCTGTGTGCTAATGATTCCCAGATTTATTACTCTAGGCACATACATCCAACTGCCTGAGCATCTACACCTGAATATGTAATAAGCATCTTTTCTCTTTTAGTTTTGATTTTTTTTTATTTCTTCAATTAACTTTCTTATCAAGCTTTGGCTAGAAATGCCACCACTAAGAAAGAACTATAGTGGTGACCCCCAACTTTGGGGGGTCCATAGGGAACCACGATAAACAAGATTTACAAGAAAAAAGAATCTTGAAAATTGCAAGTGCTAGAAATATTAACTCTATAAAAACTGCCTTCAGGCGCCTGGGTGGCTCAGTCGTTAAGCGTCTGCCTTCGGCTCAGGTCATGATCCCAGAGTCCTGGGATCGAGTCCTGCATTGGGCTCCCTGCTCAGCGGGGAGCCTGCTTCTCCCTCTGCCTCTTATGGATAAATAAATAAAATCTTTAACAAAACAAAACAAAGCTGCCTTCTTCTTTACTTGCCCCAGATAAACATGACAGTTTAATAGAAAATGAACTTAAATGCAAAGTATACACTTTGATTTTCCTTTTAAAGAATGAATTTGCCTTTAAGTTCCTAGATCACAAAATAATTTTTAAAAATATTTCTTCTAATAAAATTTTTATCCAATCACAAATAGTGGCTTTTAAAAATATGAGACCCCTCCCTCATCTTTGCATACTCTTTTATGTGGTGGTGGGGAGGGAGAGGGTAAAGTTTTGGTTACAGATAGTAATCTATAGCAGTCATGTGATAGAATTGTCAAGGCCCAAGTTTAATGCTTGAAAAGACTTATTTGACTAATCATTTTTGTTTCAAGGAGACTACAGATCTGATGGATAGTTTAATAGGGTCGATAAATTTTTGTAAATTATTAACTTTGCATTTCCTGTACTTCATATTGAAGCCATTATTTCTATTCTGGTAGGCTCATAGCTGGCAACCTGGAATAAAAAATCCATACCGTGGTGTTGTAGTGTGGCCTGTTCCTGAAAACATTGAAATCACTGTGACACTTTTTAAGGTAAGCTCCATTTTTATAAGTCCATAGAACTTATTATTATATAGTCATGCTTCCAATGACAGAATATTTCAGTATTCATTGTTCTATATATTTGAGTCCAGCCTGGTTCCTTGATATGCATTATTTTATTTTATGGATATAACAATTTATAACAATGCAAGGGCATCAGGGTATTTCATGGTCTATGAAGTCAGAATGATTTGGGAGCCCTTTTGAACTTGTTACAATTGAGATCAGTTAGAATACTTCTTTCATTACTTCCTACATTCTACCCCCAGGAAATTTTAAAGTGCTTCTTTGTGGAAAGCTGAGGTTTGTGGAGTTCTTAGTCCTGAGCCTCATTTTGTTAGCCCTGTTTGACTAATTACAATATATGTTTTAAAATTAGTATTTGAGGGGCGCCTGAGTAGCTCAGTTGGTTAAATGGCCGGCTCTTGATTTTGGCTCAGGTCATGATCTCATGGTTGTGGGATCAAGTCCTGCATCAGGCTCTGTGCTCAGCAGGGAGTCCATTTGCGATTCTCTCCCTCTCCCTTTGCCCCTTCCCCCACTCTTTCTCAAATAGATAAATAAATCTTTAAGATTAGAATTTGAGTATTTAATTGATGTTAATGTAAGAAGTTCTAAATTGATATTTGATAAATATCTTAATTGATATTAATATCTTACAAATACTGTGGCTTAAAAGCAAAATTCTGGTTGTAAATTCAAAGGGCAGATCCAAAAACATAGCTGTGTGTATACCTACCTGCCTGTTATACATACATGCTTTTTTCTTGAAAGTCTTCCATATTTTCTGAAACATTATAAAGTAGTCCCCATCAAGTCCTCATTACGCACTAGAATCTTTACTTTCCTAACTAACCCCCTACCTAGTCCAAAAGAATGGTGGGGAAAAGTCTCATTTTTAGCCTTTTGGAAAGTGGTGAAATTAGAAAACAAATGCTTATTTCTTCCTTGCTTAACACTTCCTTGAAGTGTTCCAGTTGTACTGAAGTTACTTTTGCAGGACAGAAGGGATGAGACAGTAGCTGTTCTTCGTTTTTTTTTTCCAGAAGGTTCAGGGCCATCCTGTAGTCCTTCAGTCCGCTATCCTAAAAGCCTGTTAGTTAAACCCCCCTTATCCATATATCTCTTACTGGAATGATACAGTAAGCGTGGTAGAGAACAGCAAGACCTTTAATTCTCACAGCAACCCATAAGGAAACTGAGACTAAGGAAGAAGGTCTCTTGCTAAGTCACAGTGATTTAGCCCTCTTCTTTCTTCTACATTGTACAACCTATTCTGTAATAAAAACTATGAATATAGATTACAACAGCAGGATCTCTGATATGGTTGAGGAAGACTTTTAAGTAGTCTTTGAGTATTTTGATTTGGTTTACTGTTTACATTGGGAAAGATGAAATGAATGGACATAGTTTTACAAATTAAAAAAATGATGACAAGAGAGTAAGGGGCTAGATAGAGCTGATAAATAGTTGACAGCCATGTGTTTGGGAAAAGGATATGCACTGAGTGATTCTTAGTTGAAAGTAGCTGTTGAAATGTAGTACTTGGAGGATTAAGAGATAAGTGTTTTCAAGTACTGATGGGAATGTTGAACATATCCTTATCATGGAACTTTTATGACTTCGGGTATTAGTCTGTAGAAAAAAAACCCAAATACCCCTTTTCCCCCAGTTTGTTGTAGTAAACATTTCTGTTCAGTTGTGCTATTGAGGCAAACTTGTGATCATTTTAAATATTTAAAAAAATATTTTCAGTGGCCGCTTTTATCTTCCCAACTCACCCACTCCCCAGAATTCTAATAGAAAGGCAGAAAGGTGAAACAACTTTTCATTCTTACAGTGTAATTTTTGGATCTTGTTTTTGATAGCACTTAAAATATTCAAGTGGAAAACTTTTTCATGTTTTCCTTTTTCTTTTACTTATATTAAAGTCTCTACAATTCATTTAATCTTGAAATTTGCAAGTAGAAAGGATTGCTCTAAGCCCTTTTGTCCTAAGTGTAGTATTCACAGAGGTGTGCTCAAAGACAAAATGCTTTTATGGAAAGTTAGTAGTATGTTTCATTTTCCTATGACTTAGCCAGAAATTGATTTTTCTAGCCTGCATGCTTGTTTTTGAAATTTGAATTAGATTGAAAATAGCTATTTCTAGTAAAAAAAAAAAAAAAAAGCCTGTTAGGGTTTTGAAAAGAAAAATGGTTCTTTAAGCCATTTTCAATTTTTCTCTTTACTGCAGCGGTGAGAAAGGAGACTCTACAGGGTAGAAAGTAGGATACAGAGAAGACTTAATTGATTCAAGCTAGAAGCAATTTTCATTACAAATGTTTTTGTCTGGCCAATAATATAAATAGTTAATTGTGTAGCTCTGCCATTTAAAAATGGCCTGAAACTATTACTATTGCTCTTTTACATCTTTTGACTGACTTTGCCCTATCAGTTGTGTCCCTTGGTCCCACTCAGATTATTCTTGTAAGAGTAAAGAAATCTGAGTTGGTACTAACATGGTCAGAATTGTGGTTTGGGAGAATAGTATAAGATTGATTGGAGGGTAGAGAGACTGAGAGAATGTTATAGTCACTTTTATCTTGAAATAGCTTAGGCACAGAATGATAAGGACCAAAACTCAACTGTGGCAGTAGAAGCAAAAGATTATTAATATACTAAAATAGAATCAATCATGAATAAGATGCTTCCCTATGAGAAGCATGTGGGACCAGAGTCCCACTAGAGGAATAGCAGAGCCCATTTTTCATCTGTGTGCACTTGCTCATTCTTAGAGTAGAATGCTGAGCCTAAAGCCTGCTTTATTTTTTTATTTTTATTTTTTTTAAAGGTTTTATTTATTTATTTGACAGAGAGAGACACAGCGAGAGAGGGAACACAAGCAGGGGGAGTGGGAGAGGGAGAAGCAGGCCTCCTGCGGAGCAGGGAGCCCGATGTGGGGCTCGATCCCAGGACCCTGAGATCATGACCTGAGCTGAAGGCAGACGCTTAACGACTGAGCCACCCAGGCACCCCTAAAGCCTGCTTTATTTAAATATTCTCTTATTTTTTACTACCTCCATCCCTCTGCCTTCTCTACTACGTGGAGTTGAATTTGAACAAGTAAATGCACATGTGATGCGACTTTTCTTTTTATGTCTTATACTCTGTTGCCTTTTGCCTTTACTTATTCAAATATCTGTGGAAATCCTATATAATTCCATCTAGCCCAGATGCTTTCTTTCTCATAAAGCTTTTCTATTCATTCCTGTAAGTGATGTGTTGTTTTCTAATCTGTGGTGAAACCATGTATTTCTTTCATCATATTTATTTAGATTAATTGTTTGTCTTCAAAGGCAAGGACAACTATGTTTGAGTCCACATAACACATCTCCAGTTTCTTATATAATAGGTACCAAATATGTATTTGTAAAATAAATACTTGCAAAAGTGTGCTGTTTTTTTAATTTGCATTTGGTTGAAGGATCCATTACCTTATCTCAGGTTTCTGAGGCATCTTCAGGGTTAATGGCGGGGGGGGGGGGGGGGGGGATGAAACAGCCATGCCAGTTTGCCATTTTGTGTAGACTATGGAGTCCCTTGCAGTGCTTTGAAATTCCAGATGTTTATATAACCTCTGCAGAAGAAAATATTTTCTCAAGTGGTACTGCTAGTTTAAAAGTATAAAACATGAGGGCTTTATATGAGCATTTTATATCTTAATAAAGTGCTTCTTAAGTTAACTCACTAAATTATCCGTCTCTCTGATCAGGTTTCTTTTTGTCTTGTCATTGATGCAATGATGGAAGATAATTACATGCATCAACATAAGTAAAATAGAGAATTTCTTCAATATAAAATAAGGATTTAGATGTAGGGAAATTGTGGAAGTTTCATAAGAGTAGGCTCTTCTGCTTCTCCCTTTTAAAAAGTTGGTAAAAGCTAAAAGCAAGACTGTTTATATGTTCTTGATTGGATTAACTGGTTTAAAGAAATGTATTTCAGCTTTATATTTTGCTTTTTTTTTTTTTTTACAGGATCCTCATGCAGAGGAATTTGAAGATAAAGAGTGGACATTTGTCATAGAAAATGTAAGCTAATGGCAAATTTCATCACCTTTCTTTCACATTGTTGGCTATATACATTGTTAAAGCACACTAGCATTTTGGTGGTAGGAGAAATGTTACCTTATGAAAGTTAAATAGTGATTTGTAGCTTTTAGAATTTTTTAAATGAAATGATAGCCAATAGCAGAATTATTTTTAAGAAGTACTTTTGTTACAACTATATAAATAAAAATACTTCTAAACTATGTGTATACTTTGTATTCGGTTTAGGGCTCGAGGGAAAGACTATGTCTTATCTGTTTAGCATCTAGCATGGTGACCTTTGACATCTTTAAAAATAAAGTACATGCTTTAACTCTTTGGGTTGAGGGATTCTAGACTGGCGCTTTAATAATCATCTTCAGTTTGGTCACCTAGTTGGTTTAGATGGTTAAGCGTCTGCCTTCAGCTCAGGTCATGATCCCAGGGTGCTGGGATCGAGTCCTGCATCAGGCTCTCTGCTCAGCCAGGAGCTTGCTTCTACCCCCCCGCCCCCCGCTCCTTCCCCAGCTTGCACTTGCTCTTTGTTGCTCTATCTCAAATAAATAATAGCTTAAATAATCATCTTCAAATAATTTAAATATTGTGTAATCCCAAATGATTAACAGGCATATAATAAGTGTTCAGTAGATATTTTCAAATGGGGGTTAGGGAAGATAGGCAATGAATATATAGTGAATTAAGAATATGGGTTCTAGAGTCAGACCTGATTTCAAGCCCTAGCTCTGCTCTTATAAACTGTGTGATTATGGTAAGTTTCTTGACTTCTTAGCCACAAATTTATAGGGTTGTTTTGTGGATTAAATAGGTTCAGTGAATATTAGCTTTTACCATTGTCATCATCATGATCACCATTAAAGTTCTAAAATATATTTATAACAGATTTGTAACGTGCTTTGCTTGTAGCATATTCTTCCTTCCAGAGTCAGTGTATCGCTTGACTTTGTTGTATATCTCAGTGACTTTGTTGTATATCTCAGTGATGGAAGGAATACTACACTTTTTCTAGCAGTAGCTGGGCCATTTTTAGCCCGCGGGAGCTGGGAAGCTTGGGAAGACCAGGTCCAAACATGGTAGGGGGTGTTCTGATGGCTGGATAGCAAACCAGTGTAACTATTAAATGTTCACACATGTTAACAATTCTGGACTTTCTTAGGATAGATTTGAACATTATGCTTGGAGCAGTCATTGAAGTTTTAAAAATGAACAAACTTAGACTTCTTAAAACTGATTATAGCTTAAAAAGCTAGCTTTCATTCTCATGTAAGAGCTTCTCCCCAGTGGATGGTCTTTCAGTTTTTAATACTCATGACTCAATGATACATCTGAATTCTCTTTGTTAACTGATGTGTTAAAGAGTTAGCCAGTTGAATTTGGGTTGTAGTTGATGGTAAAAACTATATATTTTTTAGAAAGTTGTTCTTATTCCACAATGAAGATAGAGACATACCAGTTTCAAGTTTCTGAAGAATGGTATTATAAACTAACTAGCCCACTGAAAGGTGCATATAAGCCTCTTTTTATAGCAGGCATAAACAGAATGTATTAAATGAATACTGTGAGGTGTGAGAAAGTTTAAAAATAACCTTGGGATTCTATATAAACCTTTTCCTAGGTTACAGCTCCCCTCAGTGGTAAATGATGAAATTGACTCTTGTCTGGAGAAACAGTTCTTTTCCTGTAGCAGTAACATGTTACAATGTTATATTTTGCCCTACATTTTAAAAGTGTAATGGGCTTCCCCATTACAATTTCAAAGGACTAAAATCTGGGCTTTGTTTGAGTCTGTTGGTAAATTGCTCTGACATTGAAAAGGCCTGTTCTCTGAATAGAATATTAATGGACCTTTCTTTTCCTTGCACTTCGTGTTATAACCCCACAGCCGATAAGAAAAGTTTAGTTTTTGTTTAATATATAAATAATATAATATAATAAAATGATAAAAATGATATATCAATAAAACAGATAATTCTCCAAAATAGATTACCATAAAAGATTTATTGGGCATTTACTGTATACTGGATACTGTGTAGAATGCTTTATACACATTATCTCATTTACTCATTACAATAACACTGTCAGATATTAATAACCTTATTCTTATGAATAAAGAAAGCGAGATTTAGAGAGGCTAAATAACTTGCTCAAGTTATATTGCTACGAAATTAGGATTTTATCTAGTCTTGTCATTTTCCATGACCTGTGCCCTTAACTCCTATGCAATAACTACCTTCCTTAGTGATAAAGGTGGAAAGAAATAATTTGAAATTGTAGAGTCATACAGAGGTTTTAATCAGGCTTCCCTAGTGATAGACCTATGAGGTACATATGTATTATATTTGTAGTAAAGGTCTTTATTTATTTTATAGTCTTTAATTATTGTATGTATTCAGTCTAAAAGTTATTGACTGCTTCTAGACATTACAAAATGGAATTCCTGAATTTATCAGTCCCCAGAATTCTGAATATCTTTTCCCAAAACAACTCTCTTGCTACTGTGTATAAAATGGGATAATGCTGTCTTCATTTTACTGGTTCTTTTGTTTCTGGTCACAGAAAAGATTTCCCAGTTGTTTCTGAGTTTTCTTGTTTGGATCAGAAATCTACTTATAACATAGGTTGAAACTTTAGAGGTGACTTTACGACTGCTAGCTTTTTGACTTTGGACAAGTTATTTAATCTTTTATAGCCTCCGTATACTTAGGTATAAAATGATGGCATTAATGTCTACTCCGTAAGTTATTGAAAATTAGAAATAATGTATAGAAAGCATCTAGTTCAGTAAGGGGTAACTATTTTTATAATGTTCTTTGTAGAGGACATGGAAAATGTAAAGGAAGCTAGATTTCTAAATTTACTGTTGTAGGATTTTAGTTTTTTTACTCATTTACACCACTTATGCCTCTCAGCAGTTCTAGACTTTATTATTATCTCAAGAAATGACAAAGCAACTTAAAAATATCTCATTTGTGTTAAACTTAAACATATTTTTATCTTTTGAAAGTTTTCAGCTTTTGATTCAGGACATCTTCCCCTTATAAATTTAATCCAAGATTAAGGAACAGTTTGTGTTCTGAAATTAAACAAGTGCTGGTAATTTATTAATATCTACCCCTGGGGCCAGACAGTCTATGTTTGTGTTTATCTTTCCACAATATGAATATATGAATATACTTCAAAAACAAATATAAATGAGTTTTAAATTATCCTTTACTTTGGATTATTTAGGATCCATTTCCGTATTATTAGTGCAGACGATGAAGGACAGATATCACAAAGCAACATGTTTCTTTTTTTATCTACCATAATATAATAATGTTTGTTCGCCCAGGCAATTGACATTGTGGGTTTTATTTTAATTAATTAATTAATTTATTTATTTATTTTAAAGATTTTATTTATTTATTTGGCAGAGAGACAGCAAGAGAAGGAACACAAGCAGGGGGAGCGGGAGAGGGAGAAGAAGGCCTCGCGCCGAGCAGGGAGCCCAATGCGGGGCTCAATCCCAGGACCCTGGGATCATGACCTGAGCTGAAGGCGGACGCTTAACGACTGAGCCACCCAGGCGCCCCTTGTGGGTTTTATTTTAATGTGAAGCCATAATAGTTATATTTAGAAAACAATTTTCTTTTCTTTTCTGGTGCTTTGTTATGCAATGAAAATCAGAACCAGTATATTTGTAAATTATACCCAAAAGTCTTAGTTTTGAAAATTAAAAATTTTTATTCTTTAGATTCTTTTGGTTTTTGAATGAGTCCAAAAATATGTATTGATGAAAAGCACCAATCCAGGTTGAATTCATTCATTCATTCAATCATTTTGCAAACATTTAATGTGAATTTTCTGTATGCCCAGAATTTTGTTAATATTGGAGCTACAGAGTCAATTAAGACATGCAGAATTTCATTGATTCTGAGATGCATATTTTTCCCCCACATTTGAAATTACCTGAAATTGGATCATCTTAAATTTTTGGTGTCCCACAATTATAATTGGTAATGTTTTTTTCTTTCCTAGTGCTATATAAAATGATAGTGCATCATTTAAAAACCAATGGAGATTTATATTTGATGGTGTGAAGTATTCTGTCCTCCTGAAATTTATAAACTATTAAGGATGTTGTATAATTAAAGAAATGCAAGAAAAAAGATACCTTTAGGAGATTATAAAGGAGGGCAGCATCAGGGAAGAGTTCCTGGAGGAAGTGGCTACAGAGCTTAGTTTAAAAAAAAAAAATGGAGGGGTGCCTGGGTGGCTCAGTTGGTTGGGTATCCGACTCTTGATTTTGGCTCAGGTCGTGATCTCAGGGTTGTGGAATTGAGCCCCGTGTCAGGCTCCACGGTGGGCATGGAGCCTGCTTAAGATTCTCTCTGTCCCTTTCCCTCTGCCGCCCCCCCCCCCCCCCCCCCCGCCAAAAAAAAAGATTTATGTAAAAAGGCACTCCAGGCAGAGAAAAGAGGGATCAGATTAGGACAAGAGAGACAATGGTGAATTTAGAGTAGTATCTGTTCTTGATCAGATAATGGAGAGGAAGAGCAACCCCACCCCCAAAATCAAACCAATGGAAACAAAACATGAACTACCCACCAAAGATCAATAGACCTCTATTTTTTTAAACTCCTAACCCAGTAAATTTAATATTAGGCATGTGATTTACTTGAGGTGCTGTGTCCTCCTTAGAGGAAATGAAGGGGTATCTTAATGTGTTTTCTTGGGGCCACCTATCCAGTCTTTCCCACTATTTCTACCAGTGACCAATGAGATGGGCAATTTGGCCATCACAGTGCCTTTTTTATTGCCATTTATTTGATATTACCTCCAGAAGCCATTTAAATGGATTGGGATATTATGTTAATTCCAAGGCAGTACTATAAATCCTCTTCTGTTTTGCTTCTTTTATTGGATTATATTGAACAAGATTGGTTGCACAACCAAACTCACCTGACAAGAATACCATTATACCAAGAACAGAGATGATATAATAG